CATCATATCCACTACCACCAAATGAACTCTCAATCACTCCAATTAATGTCTGATTAGACTAATTCTGAYGAATTTAGCTATTCATACCCATTAAGGTCTGATCAAACTAAAAATGACCCAATTAGTGTCATTTTGGGCCTATTAGAATCCTTATGGAACTATGACAGAGGAAGAAGACTAGGGTTTGACTTTTTCTCTCAAGGAGGCATGAACGTATGAAGATGATGTTGATGTTTTCGGTTGCTCCTTGGTGATGTGTTTGCGTTTATGCTCTACGTTTCGGTTTGCTTGGTGTTCGTTCTTGGTCTTACATTTGATTCATCCTTCAACGGTCGAGGGTTTCACGGTTTAAGGTTGTTCACGGTTTCCCTTCACGGCGGCTTTAGGTTTTCGCATTGGAGGTTCGTTTTCGTTTCTTCTTCTTTAGTTGGTTGGTGCGATTTCCTCTTGTTTGTTCTTGGTTCATTATCGTATTTCCCCATTGTTGGTAATTCGAGTTTTGAGGTTTGAATCGGCTAGGGATTACGTTTGCATGCTTTAGGGTTGTTCACGGCTTGGTCTCTTGGTTGTTGTCTTCTCCTAGTTTGCGTTTTCCTCTTTTTTGGCCGTGTAGGATTGCTCCTTTTACACGGCTAGGGTTTGCTTCCTTTCATGGCTAGGGTTTTGCCTTTGGCGTGGTGTTGATCATGTTTTGGTTTCGTTTAATCGTCCTTTGCTTGCTGGGTTGCGGTTTTCTCTTGGTTGTCTTCTTCGTTGTGTTTACGTTTTCTTCTTGTTTGGCCGTATAGGATTTGAAACGGCTAGGGTTTCCCTTTCCTTGCTTAGGTGTCCTTTTCTTGGCAGGTTAGGGTTTCCTTTTGCTCTCTTCTTGTTTCCTTTTCTGGTTCATCTCTTGGTCGTAGCACTTGATTGCTAGGGTTTTGTCCCGTTTTGCTCTTGTTCGTTTTCTTGGTTCCCTTGTCGTTGTTTTCTTGTTTCGTTTTATCTAGTTTTTCTTACTTCCTGTGTCAAGTGTTTCTGTGGCCTTCGTTGCCTTTATTAAGTTACTCATTTGAATATTCAGCACCTCCTTGTGGGGTCTTCGTTTATTTTAATTGAGAACGCTTCTTAAGGGTTTCAGCACCACGGCTTCTTGACTAGGGATAGGGGGAACTAGGTATTTCTTGTCGTGAGGTATAATGGTTGATTTTGCGGATGCTATCTTGGAGGATCCTCCTCCTAAGGATTTTGCTGAGGTCATTATTGGAGATTCGGTGTCTGATGACGTGCATGGGAATCATGTGCATGGAGGTGAAAATGAGGCGACGTTAAAGGGGAGTAAGGACAATTCTGGTCCCACTAAAAGGGTTTCGGTATGGGAGCGCATATCACCTGCAGTCTTGGGGGGAGTGCTATAGCTCCTCAAAAGTCGTTTGCTGAAATTGTTGGTGGCACTTCTAATCATGATTTGACGTACTACCCAGTTGAGAAAAGTGTGAAACCGAGAATTGAATTTTCTTTGGAAACTACAAGGGACATGGCGAAATCCTTCCAGTCGGTTCTTTATGGATACTTTTTGGGACCTCGTCTTCCTTTCCCAATTGTTCTGCAAGCGGTTAAAAATGCATGGGGTAAGTTTGGGCTTATGGATGCAATGGTAAATGACCTTGGGTACTTCTTCTTTCGATTCAATGACAATGGTGGTTGCAATCAAGGGGTTGAGTCGTCCCCACTCATGATTCGTGGGAGGCCTCTATTTGTCTCTATCTGGGACCCTTCAAAGGGACTTAAAAAGCCAGAACATACCTCCTGTCCGTTATGGATTAAATTCTATAACATTTCTCTGGTTGCGTTTAACAGAGAGGGCATTAGTCGGATTGCTAGTGCAGTTGGAGTCCCTTTGCGGCTAGATGCCTGTACTGCTAGCACTTGTGATAAAGCTTGGGGTCGTACTAACTTTGCAAAAGTTTTGGTAGATGTCTGGGCCGTAGGTACAATTCAGAAGCAAATTGAAGTTGTCATTCCTAAGCTGTCGGGTGATGGTGAAGATGTGATAAAGGTGGTTTTGGAATTTGACTGGGTGCCGTCTCAATGTTCGAAATGTAAGGTTTTTGGCCATAATACGAATTCCTGTCCGAAAGGGGGTACTCTTAAACAAAAGGAGATTGTCAAGCCGTTGCATAATGATGGGTTTATAGAGAAAAATAGTAAACAATGGAGACCGAAACAGAGTTCAGGACCTAGTAATGGTGCTCAGGCCACTTCGTCAGGAGATCCTTCTAATTTGTGCGAAACATTGGTGGGAGTTGGTACTCTTAAGGCGATTTCTAATAAACCCTCTACTTTGGGTGTTACTCAAAAGGATAAGGAAGCAGTTGAGGTGGTTGATTCTGATCCATCAATTGGGGAACGTAGGGATCATGATGAAAGTCAATATTGTACGGTGGATGCTGGGAGAACGCCAAGAGGAAGGGATGATGAAGTGAATGTGACATTTCGATCAAAGCGGGGTCTAGAACTTGTTAAAGGAGTGCTTAAAGCGATGAAACCAAGACGTGGTGCAGTTTCTATTACGTCTACGAGTAATAGATTCTCCCCTCTTCCTTCTGACTCCAGTGATGATGATGATATGGAAATAATAGACACTGAGGGGCACTCTTTGGATTATAG